TCATATTCATGTAATCATAACACAGAACAATTTGTAATAGCAACTTTTTTGTTTTTATGGTTGGTTTGGCTTTGCTGTATTGTGTCCTTTAAGGGCCATATCTGATCACTGGTCAACCATCTTTATCCACAATGGGGCTGTGGCAAGATTTCAGCATTCTTTAATATTTTCATGGTGGAAAATCTTGAATTTTTTTATATAGACAGCAGTCCACATCTTTGTGTTTTCATTCATTCCCATTGGATTCATCTTCTGTTCAGATAAAATGTATTGTTCCTTATTTCACATTTATATAAGAATTCAGTCTAAAAATATATTTTTCTAAGTAGATAACTATATTATGAATGATTAATTAGGAAAGTTTGTTAGTAGACATTTTAAATTTTGTTCCAAAATTTTAGGTTTGACACCACTTTTATTCATTTAAAAATGTACATTAAAAACACTGCTTCTGAAAAAAATAAATGAAAACTACAAGTTCCTGGATGAATTCTTTTTTTTTTTTTTTATCCTCACCCGAGGATATTTTTCCATTTTTTGTACAGATAGAGTGGGAGGGAGAGAGAGGAAGGGAGAGAGAGACAGAAACATCGATGTGAAGGGACACATCGAGTGGCTGCCACCCGCACGACCAACCAGGGCCGGGGACAAACTGCAACCGAAGTACATGCCCTTAGCGGGAACCGAACCCGGGTCTCTCCGGACCACAGGCCGACGCTCTAACCGCTGAGCCAGACCGGCCAGGGCCTGGATGAATTCTTAAATGAAATTAAATCTTAACTTTAAGTCTTGTTTTTTTTTTGAGGAAATGGAACATAAAAGTGGTGCTCTCTGTATTATGCTGTTTTCTATTAAGTGGTTTTGGTTAACTGTGTGATAGGGAGAATGATTTAAAGTCATATTACATAGTTATCTTTCCTGCCATTATCATTATTCTTGATTATTTCACATTTTTTGCAAATTATATTCCAGCTATAATAATTGACTAAGAGAAAAACTGACGTTAATTTAAGACATGGTGATGTCAGAAAAACATTGCATTTCTGGAGGCAAAATAAAAAACAGAGGTCTTTAAGAAAACAAAGTAGAAAAAAAAAATATTACCAGGGATTGTATTAGTCAATACTTATAAATGTAATGGTGATGTTTTTATTGGTTATATATTTATCATAAACATGAGGCTATGTTTTAAAATATGACAACTCAGCCATGCTTTTACATTTTAGTAAAAGTATACTGAACTGTAGTATTTTGACTCTTTCAATTTCAAAATGATCTTTAATAGTACATGTCCTAAATTTTTCAGTTCATAAAGTTAAAAAAATTAAAATTTTTAAAAGTGTCAGTGTCTGACTCTAAGATGACAAAAACGTTGCTGTAAGTACAAATCAAAAATAATTTTGAAAGAGAAATTGTTAACTAGGTAAGATTAAAGAAGAAAAAAATGATTTATGCCCATTTTATAAAATAATGACAGTCTTCTTTTTAAGCTACAATGTAAAGTGCTTTCTTCTGAGATTATGTATTGTGGCAGAAGCTAAAACTGCCTTTTTTTCTAACAGTGCCAGAATACAGCCTCTTTTTCTTTTTGTACTAACAAGACTGCTTTACCACCACAGCCCACTCTAAGTAATTAAATCAATCCTTTGTACTTACCGTATTCTCCTCTAGTGACGGTACTAGATCTGATTATATGCTTCATGCATATTCAAAGTACCGCACTGACAGCTCTTTAATGAGCTCTTACTTAATCAGTATGAACAATGTTCATCTTGTTCTTTTTTTCCTCATGCATTAGAGCTAGGAACAGTTGGGAAAAATGAAACATCCAGCATTCATTTGAAAAATATATTGTACTTTGAAAAGTGTCTAAGCTGAGGAAGTTGCATTCTGCCCTTTAAAAGTCTGATGGACAAATTGGATTACTAGTATTGGATTAAATAACAAATGGTTAGAGGAGAAATGAGAAAAGCTCACTGTGATCACAGGCTTTAATATTTTTTGTTACTTATAAAGCTAAAGGGGTCTTTAACCAGTTATTAAAGTCAGGATTAATTTGTAATGGTTCAACTTACCGGCTTTTAAAAGCTTTTTAAATTTAAAAAATTTTAAATCCCTAAAAACAATAGTGTAATGATGTATTAGAAGAAAATTTAATTTTTTTATTACTAGCTAAGTATAGATTTCCATCATTGTGTACAATCTCAAATAAGGAGTTTGTGGTACATAATTGATTTAACCTTAAATATGTTTTTTTTCCAGTTAATTTATATAATCTATGTAGCAATGTGTAATGTGTTTTTAACTATTATTAGGCTTATTTCCTTTTGGAACATAAAACTCTTGTATTATTTGTTATTTCCTAACAATTAGGGGAGAGGGATTTTATTCTTACCTAGAAATCATAGGCATGAGTTAAACTGAAAATAATAAAGTACCACTTCAATATTGTTATTGTCAAGGAAGCAGTTTTCCATTGAAGAAAATAATGCTAATTTAAGAGTAGGCTAGTTGCTTCTAGTATTCCCTGAAAGCCTCAATTATAGGTTAAGTTAAACTCAAAAGAAACTTTTAGTATGTCTCTGTTTTTAGAAGCTACTTAGGTTATGAAACAAGAATTAAGTCTTTAATCAAGAAATAAAATATCATAAAAACTACACCTATTAATATTGCACACGTGTGATTTCAGTGATCAAAAAGGCCTTCACCAGGGTACAATTGGCCTTTTTCCAAATTGCAAGCTTTTTCTCAGCTTTTTCTTTTTACTCTTTCTTCTTTTGTTGGTACCCAGGGATTTGTTCCTATCTCAGCCTATATCACATGACTAGTGTCAAGACATCACATGGTCTGAAGTGAATACAAACCCAGCTACCCTAAAAGAGAGATTAAAAATACTGTAAAACAATAAAGACTTTTGTTCATACTCTAAAAGACCCTATTCTGTCTGCTCCATACCGTAAAGTTTTAACAGCAATTAATGAAGACACATATCATCACTATTCTCCCTTTGGATGAACAACAGATAATCTGTATCTCTTTTACAGGGATGCTCTGAAGTATATGTTTAATTTTTTGCACACAGAGCAGCTCTTTATACTCTATTTTCATTCTAAATTTTCTTCAAATTTTGCCACGAACATGGAAATAGTTAATTAAATGGTACATTCGTAATTTATTCAAGTATTAAAAAGAATGAAGTAGATCATCAAACAGCATGACAAAAGCACATCACTGGGCAATATACACAGGTGGGCAAAAGTAAATAATAAATAATACAATAATTAATAAATAATAATGTAAGAATAAACTTTGCGTATTCACAACTGTAAGCCTACTTTTGCTCAGCTATGTATAATATCTCACTTATAATAAAGCAAAACCTGTATGTATCTATAGATAAGGTTTATACATGTGATAGTTATCTCTGTGGTCTGGAAGGATATATGCTAGATCATGATAGTACTTAACCTCTGGAGAAGGAAGGTGGAGTGGGGAGTTGGGGTGGGGTTGGTGAAAGAGGCCTTGACTTTTTACTCAATTGTACCTCTCTATTTAAATTTTTTTAATGTGTTTTAAAGTTAAAAGAAAATATCTTGCTTACAAAGAAAATAAAATTTAGGGAATTAGGTGGGATATTGAGTCTTAGCTGGGATGTTTAGTTTTTTGTTAGGTATGTAAATTAACCCTGTGAATCTTAACAGAAGCTGTACTGAAGTATAAAATAATAGCCTAGAAAACCCTAGATTGTTCAGTGGTTAGAGCATCGTCCCAAGAACCCAAGGGTTGCAGGTTCAATTTCCAGTCAAGGACACGTACCTGGGTTGCAGGTTTGATCCCTGGCCCCGGTTGGGGCATGTGGGAGGCAACCAATGGATATGTTTCTCTCTCTCTCTCTCTTCCCCTCCCTCCCTCCCTTCCTTCCACTCTCTCTAAAAATCAATGGAAAAAGTATCCTCAGGTGAGGATTAGCAAAAATAATACTAATGGCCTAGCAAAACAATAAACCAATAATAAGTAAAATTCAGAAAGAAAAAGAAAGTCAAAGAATTGTACATTTGACTAAGTACAATTAATTTGAAAAGAGAGGAAGGAAGAAGGTGGAGAGTTAATTTTTGTTAGTATGATTGTGGATTACTTCTACATGAGTAATACCATATATGTACTGTATATTATAATCCTTGATACAGTGTGGCCTTTGAGGGGTGGTGGTGTAGATGATGGAATGGATATTAGGAAAAGTTCATTTTAAACCTGTAATTAGTAAATGTATAATCTAAAATGTTAGACCATCTCTATTCAAATGTTTTCTGATTTATTGATATTATAATGTTTATTATAATGTGTTATTTTACACATAGCTATAGGCATTTTTGTCAACTGGTCATTTATAATGTATTTAAAATATTTTGCAATTGTTTACTTTATTAGGGATGATGACTTCCAGAATGGTATATGCCCCTATGTGTTTTGTTTACTTTTAGGGAGAAAAATAAGAGAGAAAAAAAGTTGTTACAAGTGGAAGCTTTCACAAAATCTCTGAACTTCTCTGATCTTCCTGCTAGTCTTGTAGTTCTCACAATGATTTTTCCTTTTTCTTTATCATAACCATATGTCTGTCAGCACCATGAATTCCTCATTGAACTATAATAACAAATCAGCCTGTGGGGAGGATTTAAAAGTTGGAACACTTTTTTTTTTTAACACTAACATTGTACTTAGTGTTAGTATGATCTCTAGATATGTTCATGGGGACTGTGTATTTATACATGCTGAATAATACCAGCTTTAGAAGATTGAATTTTAGAAAATTATGAAATTTTACATATCAGTTTCTTTTTTAGGGCCTTAGACTTTAATCTTGTGTTGTTATAAACTGTCTAATTTGTACTATCAGAGTAGCTAAAATGTTTCATGTTTAAAAAAAAAACAAAACACTTGTGCTCAATTATTATTTGCTTACAAATGCCATATAACAAGAAATCACTCTTCCTGAATTATAGGAAGAAACACAGAAGAAGAAGAAGCTATGATGCAGGAATGGTTTATGTTAGTTAATAAGAAAAATGCCTTAATAAGGAGAATGAACCAGCTCTCTCTCCTGTAAGTACTCATGACTGCTTGTTTTTCCTACAACATTGATGGACCTTAGGCTTTTTGTTATTGCTTTCTTTGGGGTTTCATATTTATTAGGCTTAACTTTTTCTTTCCTTAGAGATTATAGTATATTTTATATAAAAATAAAAAATAGTTTATAACCAATTTTCGTCTGAACAGTAAGAATTTTAAAAATAGAATGATAGAGCCCTGGCCAGTTTGACTCAGTGGTTAGAGCATTGGCCCGCAGACTGAGGGGTTGCAGGTTCAGTTCCCGGTTAAGGGCACATATCTGGGTTTCAAGTTTGATCTCCTGCCCCATATAGGAGGCATCTGATTAATGTGTATCTCTCACATCGATGTTTTTCTTTCTCTCTCTTCCTCCCTCCCTTCCATTCTATCTAAAAATCAATGGGAAAAGTATCCTCGCAAAACAACAAGAAAAAGTAGAATGATAGATACTGAAGAAATGTCTATTATATAGAAAGCCATTGAATATCGTCCGGCCAGTATGACTCAGTGGTTGAGCATCGACCCATGCACCAAGAGGTCATTGGTTCGATTCCCAGTCAGGACACATGCCCAGGTTGTGGGCAGAATCCCCAGTAGGGGCATGCTGGAGGTAGACAATCAGTGTTCTCTCTCATCAATGTGTTTATATCTCTCTCCCTCTTTTTTCCCCCGCCCCTCTAAACTCAATAAAGGAAAAAAAACAAAAAAGAAAACCAACGAATATAAACAATTTTTGTGTTTAAAAAATAAAGCATTGTGCAGAAAAAGGAGATTTGGTACCTATTAAGGGTTTAAGAAATAAAATTGAAATCTATTTAACATCAAATTTTAAATTAAAAATTAAAGTAACTCTTAATAAGGACAAAAGAACCTTTGTGTTCTACAGATGATGGTACCCTAAATTTTGGAATAAAAAGAGTGATGAGTTACAAAGAAGTGACCTTTTTATGATTGCAAGAATTACAGTAAAATGTAGACTAGACCAAACGTAAGCATTCTTAGTCCTTACCTTTTAGTTTACTGTAAGACTTAATGTTTGTTTCTTTTTGCTAATTAGCAGTCTTCTTATATTATGCCATTTAGCGTGGGAAGGAGCAGGCTTACGTGTTTTTTATTTTAGTGAAAACAAATATTTTTGTCATTTCTATTATACCTGGACTTAATAAAAGAGTTTTGAAGAAGCACAACAATGAACTAATCCTGGTTTGTTTGTTTTTTTGTGGTACGTGCCCCTAGCGGGAACTGAACCCAGGACTCTCTGGTCCACAGGCTGACGCTCAACCACTGAGCCAAACTGGCCAGGGCTAATCTGGGTTTTTAATTGTGTCCATATTAAATTTGCACTGGTAGCACTGTTATATTTCTTGTATTCTTTTCACATGGAATTCTAGACAAAAAAGTGTTTGTTGTGAACTATGAAAACTCTTTTACAAAATAGCCTTATACCTGGCATTTAATACAAGAAGCATTGAAGAATAAGACTCTTTAACTCACAGATTAAAATATACCTCTGTGCAATTCAAAATTGGAGGAGAAAAATAATAGCACTAGTAAATATTCAACCTGAGGAAGATTTTATTTAGGTTTGTGTATCATTTGTTTGGAGTAGCTTAAAGTTAAAGAGAAAAGTCAGTTATGAGTCATAAAATCAATGTAACCTAAAGGTTCTTTTAAGTGTTTAATGATTTAGTAATTAGCATATTGATGAACTTTTGCAACTTGCCTAGGGAAAAAGAACATGATTTAGAACGAAGGTATGAGCTGCTGAATCGGGAATTGCGGGCGATGTTAGCCATTGAAGGTAAGTGCTGTGGTGGAGTGAAGTATGTGAGGTGTCTATTGTCAAGAGAGATTTAAAGAGGGTAATACACTTCTAGTCTCCCTAGGTGTGATCTGACTAGAGACCTACAGGATTATAACATGCCTTGGAGTCAAAAAGCAGTAGTCATATAAAACCTAAGGACCTTAATTCAGATAGATAGATAATCATTATGCTTGCTATTAAACACAAAGTTTTCTTAACTTTTGTCAGTACACTTAAATGTCAATAAAATGGAAAATATAAGGAGTTAAATGACTTAATTACATTTTACTATATACAATTTAAAGTTGTTTCTACAAGGGAGGTTTTGGAAAGATTTATCATTTTGCTTTTTCACATTTAGAATCTAATTTTTACCTTAATATGTAATTGATGTCAACACTAAAATATGTCACTGTCCAGTGTACTATAGTTCTTAAGATTCCAACTCCTGTTAAGCGATTATTCAGGCAAAGATTTGGGCATAAGGGATAAATGAAACACTTTCATACTTTTCATAAAGCTTTTAAATGAATTATGTAGTAATCCTAAGCATGGTTCATAATATCAGTAAACATCAGCTCTCTTAACTATAGCATTTAAAGCTTTTCTCCTTATACTACTTAGTTGAAAATGTCTCATAGTTAAAGATGTCTGTCTGCTAATTCTCTGGGCTCTGTAAAATGGACCTTTTGTCTAATCAATGCAAATTGATTTTCCTATTCTATATTGACCTCTTAACCCATTGACTGAACATGGTAATTTTCTTTTTTACCTGATAAGGTACCTGATCCATAATAAGTCAATTCTAATTAGTTCAAAAACTAGAAATTTAAGTTTGTAAGGGGAAGACAAGTGAAACCATATATTTAAAAAATACTTTATAATACTGTTATTATATAAAAAATATTCTATTTATCATAGTATCTTATACATTTATAGCAGTTTTATTTTTAATTACTTTTATGTCCATAATCTCACTTGGTAAATATGACTAACAACATTTATATATCCTCATTTAGAAATCACTTATTTTAAAGGGTTTCATATAATTAATTTCCTTCAAGTGACTATCCAAGTATATCAAATTATACCACTGATAACGATTATAAAATTTGTCAAAAAAATTTAAGAAGTTCTGTGAAACTTGCCTTGAAATAAAATATAAAAGTATATTGAATAGTATTTTTCCTCTGGATATATTTTTTGTAGTCATTGTATAGTTTTTAAGAGATTGGAAAGGTAAACAGTCAGTGAAAGGTAGTTACTGCAAGTACTATTTATATGTTATATATATGTATGTGTAATTTAAAATGTATTATATATAGACTTTATAATATATAACTCATTATACAGTTTATTCTTTATAGATCATTATACGTTACACTGAATATAGAGTATTAAAATTTTGCCCTCTCTTTTATGTATAGTAAGTTAAATCATCCCTAAAATACAGCTTGATACAATACAGTTGATTTTTAAGGCAGATATTGCTTCTATCCCAAAACCAGTATTATTACCATATACCATCTTAAAAGGATAGCCATGATACATATAAAAGATCCCAATTTCATTGGCAGTCCTGTCCCTACATACCAGACCTACAATCCCAAATAATCTTGCATTTTTATCTGCCTACTCTTGTGCAAATGGAACATCATTAGAAAGCCATATTTTTTTAAGAGGGAAAAAAGTAATGTTTTTCTTTTTCAAACTATTTTTTGTCTTATTTTGAAATAATATCATTGTCCCATATGTGATTGTGCCTTAAATCTCTCAGCCAGTTTCCCTTGCTGGTTGAGGGGAAGAAGAGACTTAAGGAAAGAAGCAAGCAGCCTATTGATTATAAATAAAGACCTTTTCTTAGAGAGAGGCCTGTTGCATTAGCCTGGCAGTACAAGGGCTGGGCTATCCTGGAGAGGTGATCAGTTCTGTGAAGACTGTCCTCTGAGCCAACCCTCAGAATGGACACACGTTAGTTAGTTCAGTAGCCTTGTGGAGTGTTAAAACACCACAGAAAAATACCAACAGGCAACATGAGTTGGTTTTGTTTTGCTTTCCTTTGTTTTAAAGTTCATTCCTCTGTTCTTTTCCATCTCTTCTACTTAGTAAGGATAAGATGGTTTTTGTAATAATAAAATCTTTTCAAATAAATCTGCTGCTTAAACCATTCACCAGAAGAAAAGCATGGAATGTTAATAGCCATAGCACACTGAAAGAAATATTAACAGCTTGGTTTGAGAGCAAAATAATAATAATAATACTATGAAATATGTCCATTCTTCTGAGAATCCATAATCATGTTGGCCTGTTTTTACCTTTTTTTTTTCCTGAGGTATTTTTCATAGCAGGAGTTTCACTCTACTGAGCTAAGTTGTAGGATCCCTTAAGCTAACAAACATCTTTCAGATACTTTTCCTATAGTTTTTTTGTTCCAGATTATTTAATGCCTCCTCAGGAAAGATAAATTCATTTCTGCACACATTGGGGTGGGCTTTTAGAAAGTGGTATGTTCATTTTCTGCACAAGAAATGGATCTTCTCTAGGATTTTGTACATCTTGATTTATTCTTGGCTTAGAGTTTGAAGTGGGTGCTCTTCTAAAGGGATTTATGCATAGGTTCACTATTTTTGTAGTTATGGTTTATATGATAAGCTTTTTATATTTAAAATCAATATGTAATCCTGTGGAGGAGCTTATCCCCTAAAACCCCATTTGTAAATCTATTTTAGCTTTGTTGCACAGCACAGCCACAGTCTTCCATAGATTGATTAGGTACAGCGGTAGAATCCTATCAAATGGCCTGCTCTGATGATGATGCAAACTCTTTCAGGATTGCTAGTTGACTGGAACTAAAGATAAGACTTGACTGCAATCCCCCAATGTGCTCTTTACAAAACTAGTGTTAATTTTCATCAAAGTGCCAGGCTTATTTATAGTGGCAAGGTGGAAGGTTTACTACAAGAACTGTAGGTCCTTTCTATTAAAGTGTTTATAGGTATTTCTTTTGCCTTTTTCCCAAGGTAATTATTAACTTCAGCAAATAAACTAAATCAGGGAATAAAAAATTGGCCCTATATATAAAAAAAGAGTTTTTTAAATTAACAAAACAGCTCAGTGTACGTGGACATAAACAGAATCTCTTTATTTCAACACTTTGGCTCAAATGCAGCATCAAAACGTAATCCTATTTGTTGCAAGAGGATATGGCTTTTGTAGCAAAAGTACACTGGAATCTTCAAATTAATCAGAACCCACACTGTAGTCTGTCCAAGCCAAAGTCATCTAGCTAGCTGTGACTGGAATTATAGGTGAATAACCCTTTCTTAAAATGCATAACAGGTAACATATAAATTTACATGCAGGATTTTAAAACATGACATTATGTCTAGGTGAAGCTATTTTAAAAATGATTTTTTTAATTTTTAAAGTTAGATTTGTACATACAAATGTGAATCTTGATCAGTTTTAAAGGTATTAATTTTTTAAAGTAATCAAAATAGTTTAATTTCCTAAACTAGCATTCATATATGTGTGTGTGTGTAAATTTACTCTCGTGAAAAGTAAATACAAAGTAAAAATAGTTTTGCTAATGTAAAATGTACTCACTACACATAGCTATTTCCTTTACAATTGACTAATATTTTATAGATAGATATTAATGTAGTGATGACAGATTTAATATGAAAAATTTTATGTTTATGCCAGAACATTTTAAATTCTAGTGTCAGTTAAATTTGACTGTGAAATGATGAAAATTACCTAAATATTCATATTTTAAAATGTTTTTGTTACAGTTATGGGAAAATTAGCTTGGAAAAAAGTTAAGATTTAAAAAAAATCATTCAACATTTCAGGAGTTAAAAAGGTTTTCTCTTTTATACATATTGTTAAAGCCTTATTTTTTTTAAATTAAGGAAATCTTGATATTTCTAATTATTAATTAAAACCTTAAAAGTCGCTGGTTAAGTGCAGATAGGATAATTCAATTAAGAAAATTATGTTGTTAAAAAATTTTGTAATTTTCGATTTACTTATACTTTTTAAGTGTATGATGGAGGAAATTTCCTTGTGATGCTCTTATCAAGATGTTTTAGAAGTAAAGAATTATAAATTAAAGCTTATAATCAGAATGATTTCTTGAGATTTGAATGAAAAAGTTAATATTCATCAAAACTAGTAATCTTGATAATTATAAAACTTAGTTACAAATTTAGCAAGTTTTTCTCTGAGTTAATATTTCTAGAACTACAGTTACCTGAAATTAGACTGATGACCTTTAAGATCTTCCAACCTGGAGAGGTCTATTAAAATATTTGCTATGTGGAATGAGACTGATTAAGAACAAGAACCGGATTAGAAAATTGTCCAGCATTCCTGAAACTCAGTAGCATTTTAATCCAAAGAATAAAATTATGATAGATATGGCTTTTCTTCAGTTTTACTGTTTGATTATTATATTTTTAATTCTCACATTTAGGGAAAAAAACCTTTCCATAATACTAGTTTCTTTATTCCTCTCCATGCTATAGAATTTTTTTTTCTTTTTTTAAATGAGAAGGAAACATGATGGTTTGTGTGACGTTTTGTATCAAATGTGAATAATTAATATATGGTATGTTTCATATATTTGTATGTATGTATTTGAGCTTATAATGAAAGGAATAGTGATAAAATTGAATAAACTATTCTAGCTTCTTACTGCTATTCTAACCTTTATTGCATGATGATGTATCTAATTTTTAATTTGTAAATACAAGATAGAATTCCCTCTAGCACCATTTGCTTTCATAAAGCTGCTGAGCAGTTTGCTGTCTTGAATAAATTTTGCTTTGGAGGGGGTCGGGGGGATTTGAACCAGCACATTCTTGTGTGGTTTGTGAAGATTCACATGGTAACCAGCGGTGTGCATTGTTAGGTTTATCTGAATAAGCACCAGCCATGTGAGTTTTAACATGATTGCCCAGGGCAATGGAGAGAGAAGAGAGAAACCCGAAAGGATTGCACTTCTCTGTTTTTTTGGAAAGTGCATTTGCTGGGGGAGGGGCTGCATGAGTCAGTGGCCATTTTTTTTTTTTTTTTTCTAAGCTGGTGTCCTGTTTCCCTCTAGGTCCTCATTTGTTCTGCTATCTGCCTCATCATCTACTTCTTCTTTTCATTGTTTACCTTCCTAATGAGGGAGGCGGGGTAGACTGGGGATTGATTGACAGCTACAAGCCCTTACAGTCTGGCCATAGAGCTGTTGGCTTTGGTTTCAAAAGTGCTTTAAATGTTCGATTAGGTCCTGTTTTTATTAAACCAAACTACTGCTCATCTTAAGGAAATTATCAGACCAGCAAAGATTAGGAAATATATTAGTGGGGCCTAAAACCTTCAAAAAAATTTGCTCCTATCATATAAAGAGCACTGCCCATCGGATTTTTCCAACCTTTAACATGGGGTTTCAAAAAGATGTAATTTTTTTCTTTGCAAAACTGCTTTGATTTGAAATCACTCAGCAGACCTCTCCAAAAGAAAACTGGCTGTGATGTGATCGAGAGCTGCAGTGTAATATTGCAGAGCAAATTTATTTTTTACTTCAAAGAAAAATGCTAATTAGCCGATTCACTACTTTTAAAGTTATTGTGAAGCATATGGCGCCCAGTGTGAGATACATCCAACTGCTAAAATAGAGCGAAGAGGAAATTAGTGAAGAATGGGCTGTATGGGGTGAGCATGGGGGCGGGGGAGGAGGATAGGTTCTCAGGCAGATTCTCTAGCGTTTTTAGAATGATTTTATCGCCCATCTCTCCTTCCCGCCTCCTCATTTACCCACATCCCCCACCACCCAGCCTCCAGCGGACCTCTTCGGGGCCTCCAGCTCTCCCTCCCCCACTTTGGCTGAAATCAGGTGCGCACCTCCGGCTAGCCACCGGCTCACACCTGGCCTCCTTTTCAGGTTCCAGCCCAGCCGTAGCCGTCTCCATCTGCGGGAAATTTTAGAAAGCAGGGTTTTAGGGGTGAAATCGTTTCCACAATGGCCAACCTCCCCACAAAACACTAGCTAATGGTTCTATAATATGGTTTGAGGAGAAATACAAGGAAACTAGAAAAGGCGGGAAGGGGAAGGCGGGGTGTGCAGAGGTTGTGCGAGTGAATAATGAGCCTCCTGTCCACAGACTGGCAGAAGACTGAGGCCCAGAAGCGGCGCGAGCAACTCCTGCTGGATGAGCTGGTGGCCCTGGTGAACAAGCGAGACGCGCTTGTCAGGGACCTGGATGCACAAGAGAAGCAGTGAGTGGGCGATGGGGTCGGGTAGAGGCTCTGCTGCCTGCTGAGGGGACGAGAAGTTTTCGGAAACTTCAGTCCATAGGTCTCGGGTGGGCTGGGCAGCCTCCCGCCGGTCCCCAGATGCCCATACCCTCTGGGGGCGGAATTCAGGGAGAGGGGAGTGCTGCTCTGCCCTCCACGAAGAAAAATAATTGTGTTTCCTGTTTGACTTCCAGGGCCGAAGAAGAAGATGAGCATTTGGAGCGAACTCTGGAGCAAAACAAAGGAAAGATGGCCAAGAAAGAAGAGAAATGTGTTCTTCAATAGCAGCCAGACCAGACCATATCCCAAAATTTTAGTCTTGGGTCCCTAAGACCAGAAAAAGCAGACTCGTTGTTGATTTAAAACTTTTAACATTTCATTGGGCTGGATTGTACTTCCTCCACCACCACCACCCCTTTTCCTCCCTCCTTTCCAGATAATATACAGAACTCCAAATTAGCTTTGTTTAAGGATATTTTGTGTGAGTTAATCATTTCCTTGAAATCATGTGAAATAGATTTGCACAGATACCTTGTGAGTGACTGGTATTGGGAGTGTTCAAGAAACTGTTCAAAGAAGAAAGAAAAGAACACCCTTCCCTCATTTTTTGATGGGAGAAAATTTTAAAGTTGTTGTTGTTGTTGTTGTTGTTGTTGTTGTTAATAGCATAATGATGGTGGGAGGGGGGTAAGAGGGGGATAAGAAAATTATCATGAATGATTTTTTTCCAGTCCTGCCATATGTAACCCTGACTCTGTTACCTACATTTTATAGTTAGATCATATTCAATCTACTTATTAAACTGTTCTATTTACCAGTGGGATTTTCTGCAGTTATTTTTGCATTTTACTATAAGGATAATAGAGTTCCTTTCCTCTGCTCTCCTCAGAGGATGGCCCTTTAACATAGCCTGAGACAAGTCTTGTGATTTGAAGGTGAGCTATGAGGATGGGACTAACTGACATGCATCAGTTTACAAAGAGCTCTTATCTTCTGAGAATGTGCCATCTTTTTCTCTGGGTAATTATTTATTACATCTAGCTTGGTTCCTACCTTTTGTTGGGTCTCAACATTGGCTCAAGAATGCTGTTAATATTTATTCTGTATTGATAAAAAGTCTGTCTTGCCACTATGAGTAAATCCCCCAATTAATATTTTCTTCTCTAGCATAGCACTGTCATTTTTTGTGTGAAAATGGTTATCTGTTTATTTATTACAATACTGAGGTCATATATAAATTTTCAATAAAAGCAGAAACTTTCTTACCTTAAACACTCTGCTACTTCTTTATCATGAAAACGACACTGGTTTGAAGAGAAGTTTGTGTATCTGCAAGACTTTTCATGTGGAAAAAAAAATGGTCCTCTTGAATGGCTGTATTTGGAGCTGAGTAAGTTTACACCATCCCAAAGGGGCCCTGCTGACACACGAATTTGAATTGAAAAGCAATTAGTCATATTTTCTTAAGCAGTGTAAACTATCATCTTTTGTAAAGGGTCATCTCTGTTAAAGATTTGAGGAAAAATTTTATTCCAAAGCACTGAAAAAAAGGGGTAATATCTTGATGAATTTTCCATATTATTTTCAGTTGTTATAATTTTGCACTCATGTGAAGAAGAATTATGATTTCTGATAACTGGCAAGTCTATAGGTGCTGAAATGAAAGGAAGAGGGTTGTTGGTGGGGGGTGAGTGCATGCAGGTGTGTGTGAGAGAGATGAGGGAAAGGGCACTTTTAACAGAAGTTGTAGGCAACAGAAACTGGTGATTATATGGTAGTGCCCATCACTCCTCTAGAGAGGTGTCCCAAACAAAGAAGGCTAATTCAACAAGTCTGGAAACAGAGAAAACAGTTTGCTACCATTTATAGTTTTGCCTAGATCACACATACATATATACACACATATATGTACACATACATGCAAGTATTTATACATACACAAATTCCGTTCGAAAATCATGCAGCCGCCTTCCGTTGCCAGTCTTTCAAAACGATAATAAAAACTTGCAACAGTAGAGTTTCTTCATGACAAAGATTTTAACAAGTTACTCAAAAGTTACCGGAACTCAATGAAATCGGGTATTTGCCCTCTTTATTCGAGCAGGAGGGCAGAGCGAGTGGCTGCTCTCTGGGGGAAGCTCTCAGAAGCCCGCTCTAAGCCCAGGGAAGCCTGCAGACGGAAATCGCCAGCCTATAGCAACCTGAGTTTTGGGCTAGCAGCGTCTCCCACCCCATTGACGCTGGATTCGGGGAGCCTTCCTTCCCGAGAAGCCTCACAGAGAGGCGGTTCCCCAAGCCTCTCCCGACCTGCCAAATCTCAGATCTGCCGCCCCTGTCCCTGCCCCTCCTGCCCCCGGCCCGAGCCTCGCGGGTTTTCCTTTGGGCTGCTTTGTGGCGCCCGCACGCCCCGCAGTGGCGGCGGAGCGTGGACCCCCGGGACTAGCCGGGTCAAGCAGCAGCGAGGGCGCCGCGTCCAGATTTCGTCGCGTTGTGCACAGGGCTGCCCCCGGAGCGCAGGCGCGAACCCAGATTGCCGAGAGGCCGGGAACCCGAAAGCCCGCGCTGCGGGAAAAGAAGCTGTGGGCCCGGGGGTCGCCGAGGAGGAGGAGCATTGGCAGCGGGCTGGTTTGGGCACAGCCCGCGGGCAGGTGCAGAACTTCCGCCCCTGGCCAGCATCCCACGGCCCGGGAGCCAAACCCCTCCCCCTGTCCCAAGTGTCCTCCAGAGTCGGGCCCGGCCTCGAGGTCACCTGGATGCTGGATCCGGGTTCCGGAGCCCAACTCCCACACTTCCTCCTCGGCCGGGCTGGCCTGGGTTGGGTTGACTTATCCACCCCCTGCGATGCCCCCTCTTCCCGTCCCCACGCTGCGGCCGTTGCTAGAACGGTCGCGGCTTCTGGGCCAGCGTCTCCCACCTGGACATTTGCCTAGTGACGACCGCCTCGGTCCTCTACGCCGAGTACAAGAAACTTTCATCTCCATCTCTCTCGTCCTCCTCCTCCTCCTCCTCTTCCTCCTCCTCTTCCTCCACCTCCTCATCCTCTCTTCCTCTCCTCTCCTCTCCCCTCTCTCTTTTTCTTCTCTTAATCCCGGGGTTTTATGGGTTGAGCATTAAGAAAACTCGCCTGCAATTTGGGATTAGATAAATACTCTCATTAAGAGCTGGGTGGAGGGGTGGAGGGGGGTCGTGCTACTTGATACTTCCCAACTTCAACCGTGGCAGCATCTGGAACCAAGAGCTGTGGGCCCTGGTTGGCCCTGGGGATCGCCTGAGCACATTCCTGCGCCCACAGCCGCCCCACCTCGCAGCGCCGGACCTCGGCCCGGCGCTGCAGCTGAATGCGAAACAGCGCGAGGAAGCGAGAGCGGGAGAGGTGGCGGGCCTGGGACAGGGCGCGCACCCGGGCCCTGGCTGTGGGGAGTGGGGGCAGGCACACAGCACGCAGGCCCAGGCTGGGGTCGCTCTGGACGCGGACGCTGTCAAGAAGCCTGCATATGCTTCCCCCCAAAACTAGTACGCTCCAGCCTGCGGCTTTTCCCAGAAGGGAAGGGGGCAGTGTATTTCGTTTCTTTCTTTAAACCTTGCACCATCTCGGGGGGTTCCGAGCCGCGGGCCTCGCGGGCTACTACTCCCCGCCGGGCCCTGCGGGAGCCTAAGGTGTGTCTTCGCCCGGGTCAGCACTGCACTCTCCGCAATGTCTCTTCCTTGTTAAGCTTTTCTTTATCATGTTTTCCCTTTTCTCTCGTTTCTTTTATTGTTTTCTCTCTGTGTCTCTTTCTCTCTCTTTTGTGAATGGGCCGCGGCGTCTTTGTTCTGGAGAGAAGCGCCCGTGTCGCTGACTTTTGTGAACCAGAGAAAGATCTTGTAAAACCTCCTTTTCTCCTTCATACTTCCCACTCCCACCCCTCCTCCTTGGCCCCTTTGATTAGATGTTCCCTCATCGTCCAAAAAAAAAAAAATGTAATTTCGTTGGTCTGGCGGCCACTTTCTTTGAACATTAGCTCGCTTTCAGCTCCAACTTCAATTAGAAGGAGTTGATTTTGAGAGATCAACAAAAGAACCGACCAAAGCCTTATTAAAGGTCCTAAGAAGATCTCTCGGGTCCTTTGAGAAGCAGTTAAGGAAACAGTGTGCTCTCCATCATATTCTGTTACCGTATTTTATTCGGACTCCAAAGGAAAGTGTCGCTTGGGGGAGGGGGAAGCACTTTGATGAGCGGGACCGCGACCGCGGCCCCTTTTCACTCAGCGGGCTCCCCCTTCCTTCTCCTCCTTGCCCAGCGCCCGGTCGGCTCTAGGTGCCCGACCCCGCGGACCAGGCAACGCCGGCGCTTCCCACCGAGATGCGCCCGGCGGCTCCTTGACTCTCCCTCAAACCTTCTCCTGTTCAAACTTTTCACTCCACCCGTAGGGGTGGAGGGGAGCGGGGATTAGGGAGAAAGGGTAGGAATTCCTCGAAAGGCAGTAAATTCGTGCCTAATATTCAGGAGGAGGTACCTTTTAAAAGAATTGCCTTGCTCAGGATTGGGCCGAAATCACGTTTTTTATTTTGTGTTCTTTTTGTCTTTTTTGCTCTTTGCGAAGTCCGCTCAGGTAGATGTGCTTGAAGAGTTTGTTCGGCTGGGAAATGGGCTTCACCGGTACGAACAATACGGGGAAGTCGCCTCAGGGAGGCTCCTTCTATGGCTTGTGGGAAAGAAAATGAAGGCAAGGGTCTGTGGCCGTTTTCCACCAGACTGTCCCTGGTAGAAGACCGGGAAGGAGACAGAGGCAGAGTAGGAAAAGAAAGTTTCCTATCAAAAATTTTCGATTCAGAAGTCAAGCGTGTGCAAGGGGGAGGAGACGCTGGGCTCCGACGTTGCAGAAGAAGATTTAAGACTTGCAAACACCCTTCGTGGGGGTTGGGAACCCCAGGAGACGCCGAGGAGCAGGTAAGTGTCGGGGCCGCCCCTGCGGGTGCTGTTCCCGAGCGCGGGAGCACTGAGGCGCTGAGGAGGGATCTGCGCACCCGAGGCTGTGTCCGCGCACCGCAGAGTAGCCTGTGCCGGCACGAGCCGCCCGAGGCGTCCGTCTGCAGGTGGTGGCACCGTGAAGAAGAGGCTGGGGCCTGGGACGCCGCGCGAGGGGCCAGGGGCCGGGGGCCCGCTTTCCGCCAGCCCGCGGCGCCCGAGCCCTCGCGCCCACAACCCGGCCTCCTAGCCGGGTGGCGCGCGGGAGAGCGAGAGAACCGGTTCTCCAGCACCTCGCCTCCTCTCTTGCCACTCCCTCCAGGGCGCTGAAAGGGCGAGAGAAGGGCGGGGGCCCCAGGGCGGCCTAGGGACCGGCGTCCCTCTCCACGACCTGGGCTCCGGCGCTGCGCACGCCTTCCTCGCCCAACTCAGTGCAGCGTTTGCCAGTCAAGCCCTGGAGTTAGCGAGCGACCGGGGCGGGGCGGGCTGGTGGCGAGGGCGGGGTGCAGGGGGCGGGGGAGGGCGGGGGCGCGCGGAGGTAACCCCGGGCTCGGGCTGCCATTGCCCGGCTCCCTGTCACTCAGCCCGCACGGGGCCCGGGATTGGCAGCCCAACCCCGTTACGCACTCACCTCGCGTTCACATACTCGGGGAGGGCAGTAGAAAGGTGATCAATCTTCATCAGGCTACATTTCCAATCACCTAAGCAACCGAGCAAGACAAGCCACTCCGACAAGGTAAATCGCTTGATTTATTTAGTTTGCAAAGTGCCCCTGCAGGATTTCCCCAGCCCCCACCTCCTCCACGTTGTACCGGGAGTGCAGCGGCAACCGTGAGCCGCCCCCGAACTCTGCCCCTCTCACCCCCACCCTCTCCCCTGAGGCTGTTCGGCGCGGTCCCGTGCGAGGAAGTGTCTCGGGAGCGTGAAGGGCTTTGCAAACAAAGTGTCTGTGCAATAAAGTGAAAACTGGAGGGGCACGCACAAAGCCAGTGGAAAGAAAGAGAAAGGAGGAGGGAAGTTGGGGAAAGAAAGAAATCCGGGGGTCCTAGACAACCTCCAGCCCGGCGGGTAATTCCTATGCCGCTCTGTTTTGCAGGTTGGCTGCCCGGCGGGTCGGTGAGGGCGCGAGGTGGTAGATGGTAAGCAGCCCCGGCAACTGAGGGCAGGTAAGGAGAAAGCCGCGAAGCCGCCCGGAGCTCTAAAAACACGCGGGGTGCTCTCGCCTCCCCCTCTTCAGACGGGTCCCGGCTTCCCCGGTCCCGGCAGATGGGCGGGGCTGAAGAGCGGCCTGGCTCCCCTCCGGGTGCGCGGCGGACCTCAGAGCTCCGCTGCGGCCCCGCGCCCCCGCCTCCTCCGAAGTAACCGAGCTGAAGTGCTAAGTTTGAAAAAGTCTTTGAAACTCACGCAGCAGCCTAGCAGAGTCCCCGTGGCCCAGGAGTCCTGTCTGTTTCCTTTCATTCCCTTCCCTGCAAATTGGGTTCCCCGGCCCAGGCCGTAGATCACGAAGGATGGGAGCGGAGGCTTCTTTAGCTCTAACTTCTCTTCCTGAACTCCCTAGCCAGGGTCCCAGGCCTGCGTTGAGTTCCCGCAAAGCGGGGTGAAGCGACAGGTCCTCTGGGCCCCCCGTCCACTCCCTCAGCACTACTTCCAACCCCTGAGAGTAGTGCCTCAGATTCGGAGCAACTGGGGAAGCTAGACTCCAGCCCAGGTCAGCGTGGGCGACGCCGCCGAGGCCTAGTTCTCCAGTCCCGATAGGGTGCTGGGGCCGCGGGTTCAGCTAGTAGGATAGACAGGGAGCGTACAGGTCCCAGGATCCGTCCCAAATCTACGAGACCCTTTGGAGCATAGACTCCGCCAGAACCCCATTGCCCACAACAAGGACCTGGCAGAATGAAGAACCGCTTGAGTTGGTGAAGAAGGGCCTGTGGCCATGGCGAGGCACCCCTAACCTGGGGGCGCGTCTTAGAAACACCACCGCTACAGTGGCCCCTTCTGCGTCTTCTGTCCGCCTTTGGGGGACCTGGGACCTTAACTGCGGTTGGGGTGTAGTGGGATTTCCGGTGAGCAATCTCTCAGCGGCTGAGCACAGAGAGGCCAACTGGCGGGGTGGCTGTGGGCTCTGGGGCCGGCACCCAGCCTCCGAGACCTTTGAAGAAACGGTGGGCCATGCGTCCGGGAGAGGCCCAGGTGTTGCTAGCGCCTCGCCTTGGCTCTCTGTAATCTCTACCTTTTCGCCCTGCTTTCAAAACATTTAAAATAAACTGAAACAACCCCTCATCCTCTGGGCAGCCTGCCACCGGGGCGCCCGGGGAACGTTTGCTGGTGCAGAATAGGGCCGGCTCTCACAGAACT